AGTGTTTGTACATTAGACAAACTTAAGAGAGCAATTTTATTTTCATTAAAAGCAAATAATAAATAAATAAATAAATTTGAAAGGCACCAACCTCTAGGAAGAACATGGTAGATTACTTCATTAACTGAACTGTAACACATAGGAAGAACATAACATATTTACTTAATCTATATCAGACTATGCAACGAACATAAAAAAGTACCTACGTACAGGATGACTTTGGGAAAAAGTTATATTTTACTAGAGACGGATATCCTCCTGAAGCAGGTAAAACCAAACAAATAGTTAGCAAATCCAACCTCTAGTAGTCACAAAACAAATGGCCAGATTACTGGCTCATTGATGGAGTCAACATTACCAGATGCAATTGTTGCTTCATGAACCACTTCATCAATTTCATCAGTAGTCACACTAGGTTGAATAACATGAGCAGCTGTATCCAGAACCTCCCTTGAAATCTGAAGGGAACATATTTGAAAACAAAAAATTTTAGGATTTATATTAAAGAATGGGTCATGAGAACAATGCAAAGTATCAACAACATAAATTTGTTGTTCTTTTTAGTTTTTTTGTTGTATTATTTTTTTGGACAAGTAACATTGTAAAAGACAAAAAAACATGTAAGGCGGAAAAACTTGTATACTCAATCGGCCAAAGCCCAAAATCTATACATCCATAGGCATGTGCAGATCACCTAAAACTAGACAAAAGAAGAGTCTGAGAATGGAATAGTATCACTCTCCTATGTAGTACAACATCACCACTCATGGGACCCTGAACATGGAACAAATCAAATTCCACAAATTCCTGCCCACCAAACAGTGAAGGAGGAGATGATTAACAATTTCCCGTGCCTACTTACACATGCAACACTACTCAATCAATATCTTGTGCCTCATCCTACGGTTATCAACTTCCAAAATAGCCTCAAGAGTTGTAGTCCAGGCAAAAAAAACAACCTTAGGAGGGGCCCTACTTTACAAATACCTCTCCAGAACCACTAAAACCACCCAAATTTGGGTAGAAGAAATGATCAAAAAACATTACATTCTTAGAAACTCCCAAAACTAAACCACTCTGACCACCCCACTAAATCTGTGTTATAAAGCATGCTAAAGAAAGTCTTCATAAACTGGATTTTCTAGTCTTCTAATACTGTCAGGAACTGCGGTTTACACACCAAGTCATGGGGTATATTGTCATCAGCCCCAAATGTTTTAAATCAATAATTTTTTGTCCTCTGATTTGCCCCATTAGAAAATTTTGAATCTTCCACTGCCCATTATTTCCCTTCTAGAGGTTTACCAACAAGCATTGTCCATTCCAAGAGAAGAGCTAAGATGGATATAGTGAGCATAGTGCTATCCATGCATGCACTAGTCCATGCTACTATCTGTCAGTATATCATACTTGCAGTACAAAGAGGTAAAAGACTTAGCCACTTGGCCTTGTGCTGACAAATTCACGATTAAGCTTTCCAGAGTATGCCACAATTATGCTCAATAACTCATGAGCATTGCCAATCTGAACATGGCAATCTCAGTGTTACAAGAAAACATTAATAAATACCCTTGGAATTTGTGCCTAGCAATTTAAAACGATCCTCGATATTTTCTTTAAAAATTTCTTGAAGGTAGAAACAAAACACGTTTCTCACCTACGATAAGTTCTTTTCCATTAGGTTTTGCATCAGCAAACATCCAGGCAAACGATAATGCCATAGTTGAGATGAGAACTGCAAAAACAGCTCCTAATTTCCTCACTCCATGGTTTTCCAAAAATAAAAAGATGAAACTGTTCACGACAGTAAAACAAAACAAAACCAGTCAGCAGAGCACAATTTTCATTTTTGTGAAGCAATAGCTTAAATTCAGAATCAGTAGCAGTAAATTATTAGAAAAAAGGTAAACATTTAATGAGATCCAATGTAATAAGGCCAAGAAACAAGAAAGCACATTTCAATTAACTGACAAATTAACAGTGTCTTAAAAGATTTAAATTCAAGAAAAAAAAAAAGCAAATGAGACATTTTGAGCATAAAACATAATATAGACAACCCAATAACTACTATATGATGTGAAATTAACAACAACAGAACAGGGCAACAATTATTATTAGTATAAATCAAACAATTTTGGTGTCAATTTGCTATTCTGGTATCTAAAAAAGAAATTTTCAATTTCAATTGCTTAAAGTGAAGAGCTATTTGTTCTTTCAGGTTCTAAACAATAAACAGATCAATAATCACAATTCAAATCCTAAAAAACAATTAAAAAAACCAAATTAATTTTCCCAATCTTTTCTCAGTAACCAATCACCAGAAAACAAATTCCCCCAAAACTAACCAGTCAGAAGTGGTTATAACAATACCAGCCCAAATAGAAAAAAAACCCATTGCTGAGAATCTTGATAGCAATTGCACTCACAATCACCTCTTGAATATTAGCCCCAATCAAAGTAAGCTCCACCAAGAACCACAACAACAACCCAACCCAATATGGATACTCTTCCTTATACGGTTCCGTCAAGTGCCTCCCCGTGGCGATACCGATCCTCGCCGAAAATGGCTGGATCAACAAACCCATCCTGGTGGCCCGCATCAACAACCACAGCAGCGAATACCCAGCAATCGCTCCCTCTGTATGAGAGAAAGACACAAGGCGATGGAGATTTGCGGAGGTGGCGATGTGCGACGGACGTGAGCAACGGTGGTGAGGGACTTCGATGAGCTAGAGAGAGTGGGCACCGATTGAGAGAAAGAACATAGAGAGAGTGAGAGGGCAGACCAACATAGAGAGACACAAAGAGCGAGCCAGAGACAAGGGAGATTAAGGCTTTTTTTTTAATTTTTTTTCTCTATTTTCCTGGTACAAAACGACGTCGTTTTAAAATTGGTGACCAAATTTTTTTGTCACAAAAAAATTTCAATTCCCGCCTCCACATTTCAAATTTCCTTCCCAAACTTTTGCCGACCAAAAGACCATATTAGTCGCAGAAAAGGTACCTTCGTCGACAAACTTTTTTAGTCGCCAAATCTCAATCAACGGCGACTAAAATATTAGTTGCTAAAAGTACTAATTTGGCGACTAATTTTTTTTGGTTGCTGAAAATAAGTTTTTGGTCGCCAAAGAAAAAAAAAATTATTTTTCATTCGGCAACTAAATTGTTTTAGTAGCTAAAACTCAATATGCGACAACTAAAATATTTTTGGTCGGAAAAAAAAAAGTTTTTAGCGACTAAAATTTTGGTCTCCAATTCCACAACCAACTTATTTTTGATCTTCTGCGACCAAATTTGTAGTTGGTCCCAAAAGCATACCATTTTTTGCGACCAACTCATTTTTTAGTCGCCAAAATATAACCTTCTGCGACCAATAATATTTGGTCGCCAAAAATAATGATCATTCGCAACTAATTAATATTTGGTCGCTAAAAGGTAACTTTTAACTACCAACTTTTATATTGGTTGCGGAAAGTGGTTGCTAAAAGTGCAAATTCTTGTAATGAGAGGGTGGTATTCCTAATCTTTTTCGCCTCTTCGTTTCTTCTTATGCTGTTTCTTCCATATCTTTTCTTTTTCTTATTCATCAACATGTGCTAGCTACCACTGCTTCTCCTATCTAAATCATCAAAGTTTTCAAATCTAAACTCAGATTTAGGCGATCATTTCATATTCAAAATATTTTATTTTCTAATATAGAGGCAGAGATTAACATTCCACAATTATCAATTGTGGCGATGAATGGATCACGAAAGTGATTGGTAATATTTGTTTGGTGGTGACTATTTTGATTTTTTATTTTGATATATTTTTTGTGTTTCATAATGTTTCCCTGTGTAGAGGTTTCATCCTTTCATAAAAGGTGTTCTTCTTCCTCCGTAGAGATTTATTTTTCTCCCTATATGAACACTTGTATCTTTCCTACGTAGGGATTCTCTTTATATCTTTTGGGACCTAATTTATGCTTGGGAAAATTACTACTCATAAGGAGTTTTGAAAAACTATTACACATTAGTAAAAAAGTTTTATGATTTTAATTATTAATACTTATAAAGTTTATTATTTTTTTGTAAATTTTATTCCAACACACCGCTAGTGTGTAATTTCCTATATATACTTTGATGTAATTTTTTATTAGATGACTTATTGTAAATATTAGGTTATTACAATTGAAAAATTATCGACCTTTGAATCTTAAGAGATTATTCATATGACTGAACTAAAAGTTCTCTGTTCTTTTCTTAAGTTAATTTTAAATTAATTAGATCATATGTTAAAATTGTATGTATCACATTTGGTGGTGTCTTTGTGTATGATCGAAAATTGTGAAAATATATTCTCAAACATAATTTTGAAGGAGCTACTCCATCTAACCCTGGGATTTTTTGCAAAAACATTTATGGCATTAGCATTAGAGAATGCCTAGAACTTAAATGTACATTTTTGTGGATAACAAAATTGGTGTTTTGTGCAGTCTCAATAAATCAATCTGTTTCATCCTAATAAATGGGTAAGGCATCCTTCCTTGTGATGATGGATAGGGAAGGGTAGGTTACTGGGGTTGAATCAGTGGTATCTACCACTCAATATGAATCTTAGTTATCCCTTTGTGTTACAGGTCAATCCTACTCCACTAGTACCAATAGGCGACATGGACACATTACACCTAGGAATCGATAACACAAAAACTTTGTAATAAATTACCCCTTTCCTTATCAGGCTGAGGACTAACAAGAATGGTTGGGACAACAAACATCCATCTTGTTCATATTTTGGATACCTGTATAACCATTAAAGGTTGTTGAAGTGACTAATACCTAGTAATTAGGAGGCATTGAGAACGAAGAAATTGTTGGAGTTATTATTTCTATCAAGTACTAACAATTAGTGGGGTATCTATCACTCTATTTGAATCTTAGCTATCCCTCGGAGGAACAGTAGGGTTGCCATGTTGCGATATAAGAATTTACACAAGTAATCTAATGTCAGGTGCTTGCTGCTTGTGACATAGTTGTAGCACAAAGGTTCTAACCAGTTTTCACATAGTTACTAATGTGATGAATACCTTTTGAATTGCAGTTGCATTGCTTGGAAAAAAATGGGAAACAAATTACAAAAATGGTTTCATATTGTGCTTATCACAGGTAAAAGTCTCTCTCTCTCCCTCTCTCTCTCTCTCTCTCTCTCACACACACACATGTTTTTGCTGCCAGAGTTCCATTAGTTCCCAATGGCCCTTCTTCTGATGGGGTTTAAGGGCATGTTTTGACTCTACCTAGCATATTTCATAAGCAACTTTGTGTCCCATCTATCCCTTGTGCTAATAACGCCAAAGGTTTAGTATGTATCAAGTGACCTCTCCCCTCACACCTTGCATTGGCAGGACCGGAATTACACAATGCCCTTGCTTTTATTTATTTCACTTTACATTTTGTCTCCTGGGATTCTTTTCATATTTTATTTATTTACAATCTTCTTGTTGAGAACAGGGCTCCAAATCCCGATACTGTTCTAATCATGCAGACTCCTCGAGGAGTTTTTTCCACCAAAAACCTTATCCAAGACAAAAAGCGCACTGGTTCAAGGCTAATTTCGTCGAACAGATTGAAACTTCAAGAACCTCCAATAATGGAGATCAATGAGATTGAGCCAAATTCTGCTGCAAGATGTCGAACCTTTAAAAGATTGAAGAATAAGGTACCTTTGAAATTCATATACTTCTAAAGGTGTCAGTTCACCTAAACAATGCAGTGAAATTTGGAATGCTTTGTGGGCCACATACAATTTAGAAAGTGGGGTTGGAGGGTCTGCACAACCTGCCCTACTTTGTTTTTATTTCCTTATCCTGATTTCCCTTTTGTGTCATCTTTATTCCTGTAAGTCAAATATTTACTTACTTAATGCTTTTGGCTGAAGTGATCTTTTTTTTAAAGAAAAATTTGTCTTGTCCTTTCTCAAAAAGATTTGTTTGTGTGCAAAACAGCCTCTGGAACAGATGCAGTGAACAACTATGTCATTCCTGCAAAAATGCAGTCTCTTCTTCCTGCTTTACTACTCTTTATGCAAGATTGCTTCCAAGTCTTGTCCTCAATCTTGTACTAGTTTCCATTTCTATGTGTATCTTCTGGTGATGCATTTGATGCCTTGCCTTAGTCTGGTAGTTTTAAGTGTAGTCCATTATTAAGTGTAGTTTATTAGTATGTGCTGGGCACTGCCAAAGATCTGCACTAAGGATGCATAAAAAGGCAAATGCAAACAAGGTCAAAACTATTTTGCCTTGAAATTATGCACTAGTTATCAACTTGTCATTCGACATTAATCTTCCTTTTGTTTTACTTAAATTTTAATTTGTATCTTACTTTAGTGTTCTATCTTGCATATTTTGTAAAATGGTCTACAACAAATTGAATGATCTACCTTTCGACTACTTGAAGGACAATACTCCTTATTGATTATGTTAGAGCAACTCCAACAGTGAATTGGTAAAATGAATAGCTAAAGCTATAATTTAGCAATGCACAATGCAAAGAAGTTCTAGGATAGCAATGTTGCTCCAACGGTGAAATTGTTATTTTTTTAGCTTAACCAACACTGTACCAACATCAACCGGACGACTGGCGGGCTTGCAAAATTCTGTTGATGAGTTCTTTAGCTATAGATAAAACTTGTGCCAAATTTGACACAAGATATAGTAATTGCTATTTTTAGCAGCCCATTGGAGCTCCATATTTTCCCACACCTGCTATATTATAGCAATAGCATCTCTGACAGCTCACCATTGGAGTTGCTCCTTTGCTATTCTAGTTTTAAACGGTTACATGTTGACTTTGACATGTTGAGCAACAATGCATGTGCTTATAATATTGTTGAGTTCTTTTTTTGCAAATTTTGCTAAAATGAAGCTACAAGTTTTAGTTTTCCACATTTGTATATGATATGTATTATCTTTTATAAAATCTTTCTTTTTGACTTTAAGGACAATTTTCAGTCATCTGTTTATGCTTAAAGATTATACATAACTATTTCATTTCTTGTTATTATTACATGTGCCCATTCTTATCCCTCTCTTTTTCTGCTTGATAGAAGACAGGTGAACAGGCCATTCCCATAGCCCATCGAGTGATGGGACCTTGCCATCATTCTTTAAGTGCAATACAAAGATTGAATGCATTCAGAGTAAGTTGCATTCTATGGTTTTTGCTCTCATCCAGTTTGATTTGGGCATCAGAAGCAACAAGTGGAGCTAATATGTATGTTTTTTCATTTAAACAGGAAATAGAGGAGCCTAAAGCATTTTCTACTTTCAGGGAACGGTTGCACCACTTACAGGCAAATTTTATTAAATCTCCATCTTCTTTCTTTCTTTCGACTTTTCCCCGCTTTTCTTTTTTGGGGTTTTGGGCAATGAGGGCAGTTGATCCCCAACATGAAAGGTTTGAGTTCAGGTCATTTCCTAAGTTGACTGTTATCGCTTCTTTTTTGTCTTTCATTTATGAGTCCAGAGAACTGAGAATGATCGGGTTTGCTTTGGGAGATCTGGAATTCATGGATGGGGACTCTTTGCACGTCGAAACATCCAAGAAGGAGAAATGGTACGTATTTGCTTATAATGTATGTATTTTATTGTTTCACTCATCTTTTGCTTATTAGTTTTTGAAGTGTTAAAACTATTCCGAAGGCACTGCTATGCTTGGAGTTCATGAATTATCAGGAGAGCTGGGGCGTGCTTGGCAGTCCTATTGACATATATAGCCTCTATAGTCCCATTTCCATGCTCTAGATTAGGATGATTCTAAAGGGTAGTCAGTATAATCTGGTAGTAAGAGAAGAATAGCATCATCATGAAAACTAAAGTGGTCCTACATGTGCAGTGAAAACTTTAATTTGCTGGGAAAAGAATTGTGGACTAATTTTAATTTTGATATAAAATTAGTATTATGATTCATCCAACACTGCATGTTTCTCCGTGTGAGCTAGTTTTAGTTAGTTTGTTTGTATGTACGGGGCTATATTCTTTGGCAAGGGATTTTTCTTCCCTAGACTATATTGTATTTGGGTTCACTTGTGCATTACACTACAAAATGTGCAGGGTAACATACCTGTGTTTCTTTCAGGTTCTGGAATATCGTGGTGAGCAGGTTAGGCGAAGTGTTGCAGATTTGAGGGAGGCACGCTACCGTTTAGAAGGCAAAGATTGCTATGTAAGTTCATTGCTTTTGGAAATTTCCTTTCTTCTTCCTTTTCTTTTCTTCAAGAACTGCAAAAAAGTAGAAGCATGATTGGATTTTTAATTTGCAGCTGTTTAAGATAAGTGAAGAAGTTGTAGTAGATGCCACAGATAAGGGAAACATTGCACGCTTAATCAACCATTCAGTAAGTCATTCTTATTGAGATTCTTCATTAATGATTTTCCTTCTATCTGCGCATTGCTGATGATGACGTTGCGTCACCTTTATTTATATATTACTAAATAAATGAAATGGTTGACTTGACAATACATTCTTGAGTTTTTGTTTTTTTGTTTCTTTTTGTTTGAGTTATCAGAATCTCTGCTATTTTTTATCTGCTGCTCCGTGATTGGTGCAAGTTCTTCCATTGGCTATATGATGGTTGATTGAATTATTTTGTTTCTGGAATGTGAAAGGAGTCCGTGTTTTACTTATCGTCCCATGGATGTATATATATAGGCATCCATTTTAATCATGTGTTTCTTATTAGGGACATGTGTGTCATCTCTTCTTACTGTACTTTTTTTCATTCATTTATTTGCAGTGTATGCCCAACTGCTATGCAAGGATCATGAGTGTGGGTCATGATGAGAGTAGGATTGTTCTAATTGCCAAGACTAACGTATCTGCTGGTGACGAGCTAACGTATGTATCTCTCTCTCTCTCTCTCTCTCTCTCTCTGTTAATTTGATTTGGTAAGTTTGCTTCATAAATGATTTTCTTCGGTTGTGTGAATGACAGGTATGATTACTTATTTGATCCGGATGAGTGTGACGAATTCAAAGTCCCTTGCTTGTGTAAAGCTCCAAACTGCAGAAAATTCATGAATTAGGATAGGTACAGACTACAGAGAGAATATAGCCATTGTTTCTCCACAAGGAGCACTAACCCAACCCTCGTTGAGAGGGAGACCTCACAGTTTGGTTATTGAATTTGTAGTTTTTCAGAGAAATATATGTATTTTATTTGTTTTTGTTTTTTTAGCTTGTTTTGATAATTTTCAAGCTTAATAAAAGCTATAAATTTTGCCCAGCTGTTTTTCGGCTCGAGGCGTCTTGACCTTGTGTATATTATTTGATGCATTTTCATCATCTTTTTGGTTAAAATTTCATTTGTTCACTTATTTTCCTTCATTTCTTTCAGTAATATAATTGTGTAAAGATCACTCGAAAAACTATGAGTTCATAATTGATAAATAGAGTGCCTATATATTATTGGAATTCTGCATCTTTATTTATGGTATGAGACAATCCAAGCTCAACATGCATCATGGTTAAAATTGCATTTCTTACCATCACCTATTGTACGCAATTTTGAATCCTTAAAATAGTATCTGTGGACTTAATGAACAAATGTTTATTTAATTCTTTTCAGAAAACAGCAGCAACAAAAACTAATTGAGCGAGACTAACTTACCCACATAAAAAATTAAAAACATGGCTACAAAATTACCTCAAAACCAACACTAAGAAGTTTCCAGCATTCCCTCAATATTCTCTTTTTTTTATTTATTTTATTTTTTTTTAGGAATCCCTCAATAATCTTTGGGTTTACACATTATTATTAGATAAATTCAAGTTCTTGTTGATTTTGTTACTGTAGCGACTGCCATTCATTGTGCAAGGAAAACCATGATATGGAACACAAACTAGTGAGATGTGGATCAGATTAACTACAAATGCTGAATTTGAACTGCTAAAAATGGTGCATCGCTTAGTACTATAACTCGTAACTGGAAACAAAAGGACCTTCGCTAACAATGCTCTCCTTTGCCTAGATCCTTCAAAAGATAACAAGATCACAGTTCAAAAAGTCGTCCGCCATCATATTCCTCTTGAAAGTAGTGTCTTAATATCTCCAATTGACTGATCAAGTCTCTCCTAATGATTCAATGTAGACAAGCATAGCTGCAAGAAAAAACAAAAAAAGACATTCAAGTGTTTCAGAAAACATTTAAAAATTCAGGAAAATATTATGCAACACAAATAAATTCAGATGATTAATGAAGAAACGAAGTTATCAGGGCAAAAAGGGATCCCAACTAGGAGTACTTCTATGGCTAACCAAAAAAAAAAAGGAATGGTCAAATGATTCCAGGCCTATCAATTGGACCTTACTGTATAAAGTTGTAAGCCTGCTTTGGGTAGCAGATGCTCAATCCTTCAGGTCTTTTTGAATCAATATTTAATCATCCCAAAACAAACGGTCATGCTAGAACATACACACCCTCAAAAGGGTGTGTACCATATGCAAGTTATGACATTTGTGGTGTTGATCACCGTAAATGTCAACTAAAACCTTTTCAGTCCTAACAAAAAAATAAAAAATAATGAGTCATAACTAAATACCACAGAAGGTATAACTACAATAATAATCACAATAAGTCATAACTAACATCACAATGAGTCATAACTAACACCGCAATGAGTCATAACCAAAGACTTCAGACTAGGGGCATATGGTATACACCCACAATGAGGTGTATTATAGAATTTCCACAAAAGAAATGTATTATGGCCTCTGTTATTTGCCAAGGGGCACAAACTCGGTGTGAGATTTGGACCAAAACAAAAAAACAAAGCTATCTCCAAATGTCCAATTAAGGAAAGTTAAACTTGAGACTTGGATGCAAGCTATTCCCAAATGAGAAAGAATATGACAAGAACAGAAACTACTTCCCTTGAAACTTACTTTGTAAGGAAGCAAAATCTGGATGACTCTTTAGTTTAAATCAATCCCTGGCGCTGCAGATCAGTATATGTCTTCTTATTGTAAATGTTGCCCTCTTTGTCTTCATATTCTTCTTCAAGGTCCGGGCGCCACTTGTTCACTCCCTGTCGTTCTTGTATTCTCTCCCAGAGTTGCTTTGCCTCCTGTGTAATAGAATGGATGAGTTTAAAGCTTTCACATTAGACACAATAACAGCAACAACAAAATAGTGCGATTTTTACAAGTTTCTTATACACAGATAATGGCATGCCCAATCATACGCATCTGATAACCAAGTAATCTCACAAAGCCATGGGATTCTTAAATTTTGGACGACTTCAATTACTAAATGAACAAATTTGGAGATCTATAAGTTTTAGAACACTGAAAATTCAGACTTCATTTTGAACTTCCGTTGCTTTAAATTTGGCCATTCCTATATAGTCATCCAAAGATGTTTAAGTTTGTGATCCCAAATAACAAGGATCAGGCCCAGTAAATGATGATTATTACAGGAATGACTTCATCAACTACGAACGCAAACTTAATCCAGACTCAGACACTAATGACTTCATCTGCTGAAATAATCAATTAAATGCCATGTAGAAGACTTGCAGTACTGTGTCAATAGATGTCTCGCGTAGTTCTTTTTATTATCAATACATGTCTCACGTAGTAGGAAAGATATCCTATATCATGTGAAAAAGAGAAAAAACAAAAGAAATGATGAGTAGAAATAAAGCTCCAAAAATTTCATTCAATACAAAGATTAAATCACCAATGACCACGATGAAAAAAACCACAACAATATAGATAAATTATGCGAGATGAGTTCACCTCACTAAAATCTAAATGAAAAGGATTTAATTGCAGCACACAAAAAATAAAAATAAAATCTAAGAGCATACCTCAATTGATGTGATTTCGTTGAAGTTCTTGGTATTTGGAATGCCAAGACAACGCATCCCATGCTGATGTCGCCATTCCTTGAAGTGTCGCTCATAAGCCCTGCGGCCCCAGTAACTGTGATTCCCGCATATCTCACATTTGAATTCCTGAAATGCATTCAAAAGGAAGTATTGAAAAACCTGTACTTTCATCCAAGAAGATATACTGGTGCTTGAATAGTAATGACACCATCACAGCAAAAAAGTCATCAGAAATGATAGTGGTCAACAGCCTTTTATGTCAATTTCTATGCAATTACATATTTTAAATGCATCCATTTAATACCTGAACTAAAAGAGAGATTCTTTGCAAAATTTAACGCGTACAAACTAGAGGAAAAAAGAATAATTTTTACATACGAACAGGAACTAAAAATTACCTTTTTTAAATAAAAAAAATGAAAAAACAAAAATCTAGGACGACAAGAACAGACATCTTGATTTATTCCCTTTAATCAATGAAGGGAAGGAAACAGCTGAAGAGATATGCATTCAATCAGAACTTACCTGACCAAGACCATGAAGCTTATATAACCAGTAAGGTATAGGCTTCCCGTCCCAACCCATTGGCAACTTCAGGGGATTATAAATCTGCTGCTCGTCATCATCACTTTCAGTGTCAGCTTGTACCTCTTCCTGATTAAAATTTTCATATCCAAACAAACCTCTAGGGTTAGAAAGTACATTAACGAAGTAAATCAATTCACTTTGTCATAGAAATCATAGATTTGTGCCACAGTACAAGCAATTTTGTTTTGTAACTGTAGAATGGATACTAGTTTCAGTCATGGCTTAACACATAACAAAATTGCAAGAATTATGAACAATGAACAATGAACAAGAGAATTAAAACACGTGCTGTCAGAACTTGGAATAATGAAACAAGTAAAATTCGAGTACTCTAGTCTATACCTGGATACTAATGGACAGATCAAACTACTGCTGCGTACTTCATGTGCATGAAATATCTTACACTAGCTTAAAACTCAGGAATGTTTGGTTCCGGTTTTCAGAAAATTCTACTTTTTTATTTTCCATATTTTAATGTTTTCAATGAATTTTTTTAATATTTTAAGCAATTTTTTTAATTTTTAGACACACCTAACATAAATACACTTAAAAAGTATAATATTTGTGAAAAAAATCTTTAAAAAATA